AAAACAAGAAGGGATTTAGGAAGGTAGCAATGGCAAGTAACCGAAGTCATGAGGTCTGGAAGGGAGTGTAGCAAGAAAAATGAAGTGGATAGGAGCATCTAGAGTGGTTCCTGATTTATGCATGTTAATCAGAATTAAATGAAAATTTTATAGAATGACTATAAGACCAGCAACAATATATCGTTTTGTTCGTTGGGTCAATATCTTGTGGAGTGGACTGATTATGCAGAAGATAAATGTCACATTTTATCCACCATAATTTAATTGGTAGATACAAAAATAAAGAGCAGATAACTTTTCTTCTGAGGACATATACAGACTATGAGATACTCATTAAATTCATCTGTCTCCTTTCCAGGGAAACCAATTGTGCTTCAAGAGTTATTCATCTTTATTTTCTCAACATTCATTTTCTTGTATTTTACTTTCATAGGTTTACCTTCACCTTAAAATCGCAAAAGCATACCCGAGGAAACACTTGAATTAGAAAAATAGAGAAACTAATTTCTTAACATTCTTCCTATGATAAATGTATAAGCAAGAGTGCATTGTTCACTCTATCATCAAAAAAAATTGTACATTGAGTGAAAGACATCTCTGCGCTGAAAGTGGTAAATGTAAAGATCTAATGAGTTCAAAAGAAACTATTCATCAGACGACATTACTAGATAGCTTTTTCAAGCACCACTTTTCCCAACCTTACAGGAGTTAAGCAATCAACTATTTCACAGAAACACAATACATGTTGAGCCTTTGAACTAACCATTCAAAAGGAGCTAATAGAACTGACTAGAGTAGATCATTATTAACTTCAAAGTGAAAGATCAAGTCATCAAAGAAAGAACCTACCATAGGAACAAAGAATTTTGAAATTTGGTCTGCTAGTTTCTGAACTGGTGCTCTGGCAAGTTGAGCAGCTTCCACCAGCTGTACTATTTGGGACAATGCAGTCTCTGACCCAACATGAGTAGCCTTAACTACTAAGCATCCATTCTCATTTACAGTTCTACCAGTAACCTGATTATGACACATTAAAGCATAAATTAATTTGAAATTTGGCTTCCAGATAAAGTGTACAAGGTTACTCACAATGCAGAAAGAAGAAATATATAAGGGTCAAAGGGCCATCACCAAAATTTTGTCCCAGTTATCTGGGGTCTTGGGAGGGGTGGACTGGATTGGTTCAGACCTAAACTTGGGCATTTTCTTTCAGGAAGTGACAGCTATCAGACTCAAACCCACGCTCTCATGTTTGTCAGCCCAAGATTTTATCATTGCACCAAATATGGCCCCAGGAAAGAAGAAACATAAGAAAGATATAGAACAAAAGAACAGAACCTTGTCTCCTGGCCTCTTAGCTATGGGCCTTGCTTCTCCGGTGATCGCATTCCCATTTACATGGCTTTGTCCCGTTATAACAACTCCATCATCAGGAACTTTTGCCCCTGGAACAATCTTAGTTACGTCATTTCGTTGTATCAGTTGAGTACTTATTCCATCTCTGAGATCAAATTTCCTTCCACATCCAAGGTTAGCAGATAAGCTGTATCAGGTTCAAGGTCCTTCAGCTTTGCCAAAGCATCTGATGTTTTCCCCTTTGCTACAACTTCACTATATGTCAATATTTTGATTTATTTTATATTTCTGCATGTTGTGAATCTTTTGAGCATTACGTAGGTCCTTAAAAACGGTATGGGTTATGTTGGGTAAAATATTAAAGAAACTTAATTTTGGGCTAGTAATGTATGGATGGTTTATAGAATATAAGGTTGATGGGTAGAAATGGTTCAAAATCCAGCAAAGTATTCTCTAAATCTATGGGAAAATCAAGAGAATAATATTTTGTTTTCTACCAGTATCAAAGAACTACCAGGACATTATAGGAAATGTGTGTTCTTGATGCAAGGAAGCAGCCTGACCATCATTCTTCTGCAAAAATGTTAAAAAAAAGAACTTGCATGAAGCAACTTAGCACCATTCCATTCATCTAGTTCTAAACATTGTTTTAGTCCATCACACAATCATGGTCAATTAGCTTGTCAGATCATACTTGCTACTTTTACAGAAGACATGAGACCTAGAATGCCATCCTCTTTGAGTAAAAGTCATTAACCAACACATTAACCATACCCTTTGATTGGGGTGAATCTTGGATATTGTTCCTCTGAAAATAAGTTTCACTTGTTGATCTAACCTTCAAATTTATAACCAAAACTGATGACTAAAGAATGCAGCATTAACGGCAAGATAAAAGTTTCGGATACTGTAACTCTTCGACATGATCAGACATGCTGAAGATGTGGTCCATGATCATTTGGCTCACATGTGTACCGCAAGAGAAAATTTTGCATAAAATAGAAATTTTACCATTTGACCATATCCACCCGTTTTCTGATATGCATGTATGTGTTCACACATGTATAACATACCATGTCCGAATCATATCTGTGCAGGGCAAGGCCAGATGCAATCTTCAGCTTCAGAACAACTCCGATTATTGTTATATAAATTGAACATATTTTGTATCAAATTTGAGTGTCTCACAACCTGAAGGAATGTGTGGGAGGGGTCATTACCATGTTTTCATAATCTATTTTCTCTCATTCCCTCAAGCAGCACCTTTTATCCTTCACTTAATGAAATAAGTTAGAAGTATTTCCTCCAGAGGGCTTAAATCTGCACCATGGCTCAATGTCATCTCTATGGGAAACCTTCTTGGGTCTTCTAGAGCCGCCTGTAGTTAAAGTAACTCATTTTGCTTAAAAGTATATTTATGGCGTTCTAATTTCTGTTTAGCAAACTAAAGAATTCCTGTCAAGGAGAAACTTGTAGTACCATATCTAACGAAATAATAACCAAGTAATATCAACTTTGATTAAGGGTTTGATTCCAAACATGATTTGTGACTGTGACCACTACACTGTGCCTGCTTTATCTATGGAAACAGATTAACTTATTCTTTGCTTTTGTTATTGTATATTCAAGACAGCTGCCAGGCTCAGAGCATGGAAAGAAGCTGTCATTTCTGCTTCCATATATTTTTACAGTATCCAATCATTCCCATCATGAAAAGGTCAAGAAAGTGATCTAGGTAGGCAGATGAAATGAAATGCAGCCATCTGATAGGATTTATCAACCACATGAAAATTCTGGTTTACATAATATTTAATACTTTAAAATATTCATAATGTATTTATTTATAATATCCATACTGTTGATTGATTTTAGATATTTTAATAGTATTTAAAAATTTGGGTAAAAATAAATGGCCAAAATTTTGAAATTTTAACCAAAATAAATCCATTCAGTATTATCATTTACTAACCTGTCTCAAAGGCCCATAGGCATCCCACACCCCCCCCCCCCCCATTAATTGGGATATCTCCCTGCTACAAGCACGGGAGATGTTCCTAATGCACTGGGGGAGATGGGCTGTGGGGAAGCTACTGTGCGCTTATAATCCCATTGACTAGTTAGTCTGCGGAAATCTGATTTGGTTTATAAGAAAATAGTAGCTGGTGTTACCAAGTCTGAATCTGCTCCTCAAAGAGCGTGCATCACACCAGCCTTACCTCTCATCCTTGTATTTATTATTCGTGGAGAGATGTTTCTGATACAGTGAGCCGGTTAGGGAGTGTTTTGAGTATAAACTAATTGCATATGATGGTTGGAGGAAGTCTTTCGGCAATCGCTTTGGTGTGTGCTGGCAAGGATTAGAGTAACTGTATTCAGTATTTTTAGTTGGAGTTTGGATGGGCGAAAAAGTAATAAAATTATTTTATTTCATGACATATTAAGACATGACGGCTTAGTGATTTGAAAGCGTGTTAAGAAATTCAACGCCACGTCAGGTGATCCAGGATCCAATCATACTAAAAGTGTCATTTAATTTTTGGGAGAGAAATCAAGGTTTTTAAAACTAGACCAGACAAGAATCTATTATGGGCACAGCTTCCCGCGTCAACCACTCCAATCGTCCATTCTGAACAAATGGCCCATTCTAACAAAAAAATAAAAACAAAAACGACCAAAAAACCATTGTCTAGGACCTCTAGGTCCATAGTCCGACTGCCTTGGTCAATAATTCGCAAACCAAATCAACATTTTTGTTGGTAAAAGACGATTTTGGGGTGAAACCGAACCGGTCAAGTCACCAATTTTTCTTCAATCTGTTTGTCCGATACCGTCTGGTTTTGAAAAGACTGAGAGAAACACTTTATTTAGTTTTTGATACAATGCAATATAGGCCAATACGCATCCATATCAATCTAATACATGCGTTTTAAACGTATACTATATTATCATTCACCGATACCAATACAATATACGCCGCATCAGACTTATTGTATTATATCTAAATCATTGTTACACTTTGAATCATGTAGGAACACATCATACTTTACATGGGCACTATGGCTTACATCTGTGCGAAAATTAAATGGCCTGTTATGTTTAAACAAATATTTTTTTTAATTAAAAAGAAAGGAAAAAAAAACGCATTTGGAAAAGGATGGACGTTCTACTTTAAATTGCCAAGTAATCCCGAGAAGTCGATGGTGACCGTTAATTCGCCTTAAAAGCTTGCGAGCAACTCCATTAATACATACATACATTAGCCACGTGTTAGCAGAAGAAGCAAGATGCACGGCCAACAGGGGCCCACGGTCTGTTACCATCGTTAGTTTAGAGGCTTTGTACGCACTCATCGTTAGTTAGTTTAGAGCCTCAGAGGCTTTAGAAGGTGGAAAGTAAAAGAAGAAAACATAGATAAATCTGATTTTGAATTCTCTGTCCGTCGGTGGCCGTTGCCAATGTCTCGTCTCGTGTAACTCTTTTTATTCCCTCTTCTTGATTTCTCTCTGCTTGGGCCCTTTGGTAGTCTCTAGACTGTTTCTTGTTTTCTCTCTCACGCACACTCTATTTCTTCTAAGAAGACACACACCTCGATCTTCGCCTCTGAATCATGGATTTCCGTTTTTTTGTTGTTGTCGGGAGAGGGTGAAATGCAAATCAAAACGAAATGTCGGGTTTCTGATCTTGGTTTTGGGTGCCGTCTTCCTGCCAGCAGTGGTGTTTTGTCGAATCTTGCAGGGTGAGATCGTCGATTTTCCCGTTGAGAGTGCCTACGATCCTTACACCGTCGGGTAATTTTTTCTTTCGGTCCTTGGTTGATTTTAAGTCGTTTGGCTTCCGGGTTTTGTTTATGTCCTTTTACCTACTCGTTATTTTATAATTTATATTGATGGGTTCTTGATATTCTTTCCTTCTTTACTGTGTTCTTTTTCTTTGTTTAGTGGGTTCTGGATTTGATGGTTTTTTGATGTTTTGAGATTCTTCAGTTTGTAAATTGACAGCTATTTGGGTCTATACTCTTCTTTTGATGCTTTTGATGTAGTTCATAGATGGGTTTTTGAAGATGTTGATTTTCTCAATTTGTTTATCTACCTGCTTTTGATCTCTTTAAAACTCTATTGGGTGGGTATTTATTATAATGATTTTCACACATTTCTTTTTTCATTTATCCGGGATCCATTTTACTAGAGCGAAATTGGGGACTCCTCCAAAAGAATTCTATGTTCAAATTGACACCGGAGGTGATGTCTTGTCGGTCACCTGCAATGCCTGCAGTGGTTGCCCCAAATATAAAGGTTTGAATCTAAAGCTTTCTTTCTTTCCTTCTTTTTTCCGCCTCCTTCCTCTTCTTTCATTTCCAGTGATATTTTTGCAGATGTAATCCTTACCAAGACTGTTACATTTTCGCAGATTTCTTTGAATTTCTTTGATGCTGCTGCCTCATCCACAACTTCTCTAGTATCTTGTTCAGATGATATATGTAATTTGACGGTTCAAACATTAGATGGTGCTGCACTGCTCAGAATTCCTAGTGTGGTTACTCCTTTCAGTATTGGTGATGGAAGTGGGACATCGGGTTATTATTGTACAAGATATGTTATTCTTTGACACAGTTCTCAGGAAGTATTTGGTTTCAAACTCTTCGGCTACCATAGTTTTTGGGTAGGCATTATGTATCAGATATGTTCTTTTGTATGACTTGGCTGGTGGGGATAATATTATGCTTCTTGGAACTTACATGATAGAGATTGGTTCTTGACACAGATGTAGCAACTATCAGTCCGGAGACTTGACCAAGCCAGACAGAGCCGTTGATGGGATTTTTCGGTTTGGCCAGCAGGAACTGTCCGTCATTTCACAACTATCCTCATGAGGAGTTACACCAAAGGTGTTTGCTCATTGGCTGATAGAAGAAAATAGTGGTGGAGGTATATTTGTTTTTGGTGGGATTGTAGAGGCAAGTATTGTCTATAGTCCTCTTGTTCCAAATCAGTATGTCCTCTTCTTAGAGTTATTAGCTTTTATTTGCCATTTTTCTTTTCATGTCGCCTAATCTTTACAGTCTCCTTTCTGATCTCAAGTTTGTTTCTGGATTACTAGTACCATAAAAAGTTGAGGATGGACATATTGGAAACACCTGCATTTTTTTTTATCTGCAAAGGACATTTTTCCTTATTCTCGAACACATTTATAAATTTTAGTGGTTGGACGTTGTTAAATATATATGTTTTGATTCTTAAAAATATGGAGCTTGTCCACTACAACTGCCTTTGGAAGTGTTTCTTCAAGGAGGGAAAAGAAATTAGAACCCTAGTAGTCAATGGTCTTTACTTACCTATAAAACTATCTAGTTAAATCTTGTTTGCTTCCTTCGATTCTATTTCATTTCTATCATAACTCTGTTTTTATCATTTGGACCTTTATATTAGTTTGGTGAAAGCTTGTTTTCTTCCTTAAGTTTGTTCAACTGGCTCGAACAAGTTTTTGATCACCATCTTACTCTACTTTCCCTCATTTTTTCACTTGTTGAAACTACTCCAAGATTTCCGTAAGTATATTCATTTCTAATCCTATCTTTTCCAGTTTCTCCCTTGTTATGAATTATTGAACCAAGGTAACAGAAGAAATTATAGTTTTGGATGAACTAATTCTATGGGAAACATTCTCAACCTGTCCCTAGTTATGAATTACTAAACCATGGTAACAGAAGCCATATCTTGGTCTCCAATACTAATAATATTACACTATTCTCACAATAGTTATATATTCACTCTAATTTTGTCAATCCATGGAATTTCTTCTTTGACATGTTTAATCATACATCCATGACTATGTGGTCAAATAAGGGCTATGTGTCAATCTATGTTGAAGTCTCGTTATAATTAATAACTCTGATGTCTCTCCCCTAGGTGTCTAACACTGGTCATTGTGCCATCATATATGTTCTTTAGTTCGCATATCTATTTGTCATTCAATCATTCATTTCTTTCCCAAAACATGTCATATCATTTCTTACTGTCTAAATATAAGTTTATCTTAAATAATTCATACATCTTTTATTTTGATGACAATCTTTGTGTGCTAAAATCCAATGTTAGACAAGTTTGTTATTTTAGATAATCATCTCCTTTTTAATTTCATCGCTACTATTGTTTATGTGCATAAGAAAAATCAAATCTGATTCATTTGATTTCGATTCTGCGTTGTGTTTGAATTCCTTTTGTCTCAAAACTTTCAAGCCTGGTTATAATATTTATCTGCAGAGAATTGTTGTCAATCAAATTCTACCTATTGATCCAACAGTTTTTGCTCTTTCAGGCAATAGGGGAACCATAATTGATTCTGGTACAACTTTCGCATACCTTGCAGCAGATGCATATGATCCATTTGTCAATGTTGTGAGTTACAGGAACACAATTTTTTAACAATCTAGTTGATGTGAAACACTTTATACAAGTTGTTGAAAAGAATCATAAACCCACACCTTTTATTTGTTAAAGATTGAAGTTAACCAACTGACTACTTAGTTTTTGTTGTTGGGGACGGAAATTGGTGAAACAAATTATATTCATGATCTCAGAATCTCATTTCTTCCATTTTTCTTTTGTGCAGATAGATAAAGTTGTTTCACAATCCGCAAGTTCAGCTTTATGCTTTGCTAGTACTGCACCTATGATCTTAAGCCAATTGAATGAAGTATTGTTATTATGCCACCAAAAGGTTTCAATTCAAATTTTTAACATTTCTCCCAAGATGGGGCAAGAATTTTGGTGCATTGGCTTCCATAGAGTTTAGGAACAAGGGATGACCATTTTAGGATGTTTGAATCCTGACTTAAGTGTTTCTCCATTGTATGCACTAGTCCAAAATGTAGAGAATGAGTACTGGTTAGATGCTAGCCATTGCATTTATGTCATGTGTGCTTGTCCTTGTTGTTTCTAACATACACTACAAGCATATGTTTATATTTAGATATGTAAATGTATTATGTATATATTTGTATACATGCCTAGATATGTATGTATTTGTATCTTTGTCATGAAGTTCATTCTAAAAAGGTTTTACGGATAATTATGATGTATACATGAAAGCATTATTCTGCTTAATATAATCACCCATTAAATTATTATTCTTCATGACATGTAAAACTAAGAAACTAAATATATTTAATGGAATAAGGAAGTTCTTATATATGTTAACTAGGGATGCCAATGGGTCGAGTCAAATGGTAAGCCCGTCGTGACCCGACCCCATAGGGTCGGGTTAGGGTGAGGTGTATTTGGATTTAGGGCCGGCTTAGGGTTTTGATTCTTTGACCCACTTTCGGTTCGGGTACAGGTTTTGATTGGCCCACTCCATTGGGTCATGATACCTACATATATACCAAGTATTCTTGCAGTTTTTTGACTTCCAACTATATAGATTTAATGTTTATATTTTATTTACATGTTGATTTTGATTTTCTTCTTAATTTTTTAAATGGAAAAAGTAACACCTTAGAATCTATAAAACAACTTCCTCACTTAAATTAATGTTTTTTATGTCTTCAAAACATGTTAAAAAATACATTTGAAATGCAACGGGTCAGGTTCGGGTTATAGTGCTCGAGAGTTGGGTTAGGGTTGTGGAAAGCCCGTGCTTAACCAAATTGGTTGACATCCCTAATGTTAACAATCGACAGTGCTCTCGTGGACTATATTCCATGATATTGTAAGGACCAATTTTTGTGATTTGCCTAATTGCATCTCAAACTACTTAAGATAGACAATAGTTGAGATTTCCCTTCAAACAGTGTGGAGAGTGTACATATCCAAAAAGGCCATTATCCAATGGTGGCCTCTGCTATCTAGGGTCTTGGTAGGGGTAGATTGGGTAGTGCCAACTCCTAACCTTTAGCATTTTCTTTTGCACAAAGTGGCTGCTCTCACTCTCACTATATGAGTGTGTACATATCTCTCATCCAGAAATAGTATTCAGGGAACTTTTCAAGCAATTTACTTCTGTTCAACCCATACCTAACACATCATTGTGAGAAGTTGTTTATTTGATATGGTTGTTGCATAAGTTATGCCCAGTTTCTGAAGGTTTTGGGAACTAAGCTTCTATACAGTGGATAAATAGTGGAGATATTTTAATGTTGTTTACATGGTGAATACATTTATGAAATTCTTCTTTGCTATTTCTCTCTATTGGCTATAGTGTCATGCCTTGATTTATTGCAATGTATTTAGGAGTTTGTGTACACTACACATATTACATTTGAAAATGAGTTTAATAGTAACATTTCGTGTAGCCAAGAAAGTGGAGAATTACCAACAAACCACAAATCATGAAATACAAAATTAGGAAAAATAAAAAACTCAGTTATACTTCATATTTATATAGCCTCTGAGACCTAAAATTCAAGAGATTATTGAACAACAGTTAACAGTTGTTGGCATAAAATTTGTTGGAATATATAGTTCGATGCATTCTACTAATAAGATGAAGTCATTGACAATATTCCAGCATGATGTGAATTGTATGGCTCTTTTGATGGATGGAAGTGCAGCTTTGGGTCTTGATTTGAGCTTTGTTACTCGTGTATTTCTGATGGAACCTATTTGGGACAGAAGTGTAGAGGAACAAGTCCTAAGTCGAGCTCATCGGATGGGTGCTACTTGTCCTATTCATGTTCAAACTTTGGAAATGTGTGGTACCATTGAAGAGCAAATGCTGAAATTCTTACAGGATGCTAATGAATGTAGAAGAACCATGAAGGAAGAGCTTGGAAGAACTGATTGTGGAGGAGTACGGGTGCATCATACATTGCATGATTTTTCTGAGAGCAATTGCCTTGCCCAGCTCAGCTTTGTATGGACAAATTCTAAAACATAAAGCATTTAAGAGTCTCTTTCCCTGTATCTAATTGATGATCTCTATCAATTTGGGCCAGAAGATGACTTGGACTTGTCCTTCAAGAAGAAATGGCAGCCTCTGACCCAAAACAGTGCAATAGCTATAACTTGGTCTACAGAACTTTTAGGAGTATACTGTCATTGTTATTCTTGTGGTTTCATTCAATGTTGTTTGCATGTCAGGAGAGTTTTGCTAGCTATAGCCGCACAAGTTTGAACTAACCACACAAAAATATATTACTTCCCCCAAAACATGCCATATCATTTCTTCCTGTCTAAATATAAGTTTATCTTAAAGCATTCATACATCTTTTATTTTGCACGAGGTATCCAATCATAGATGACAATCTTTGTGTGCTAAACATCCAATGTTAGACAAGTTTGTTATTTTAGATAATCATCTCTTTTTTCAGTCTCATCGCACTATTGTTTATGTGCATAAGACAAATCAAATTTGATTCATTTTAATTCTGATTCTGCACTGTGTTTGAATTCCTTTTGTCTCAAAACTTTCAGGCCTGATTATAATATTTATCTGCAGAGAATTGCTGTCAATGGGCAAATTCTCCCCATTGATCCAACAGTGTTTGCCACTTCAAGCAATAGGGGAACCATAACTGATTCTGGTACAACTTTGGCATATCTTGCAGCAGATGCATATATGATCCATTTGAACTAACCAACAAACTAGAACCAATGAAGTGTTGTCCGCACAAGTTTGAACTAACCAAACAGAAAGATATTACTTCCGAGTCTAGAGCAGGATGGAGGTACGGATTTTTTGCTACTGACCCACCTGGGTGGTGGGACAACACATGCATTGAAGACTTGCATTCTATAATTTTCTTGTATGTCATATACAATAGCGGGTATGTATACATTGAACCTATCATTTCAGTTCCTGTACTATATTACTAATCAAATTACTGAATTCTTATTTCTTTAAAAAAAAAAAGATGCATATGATCCATTTGTCAATGCTGTAAGTTACAGGAACACAATTTTTTAACAATTTAATTGATGTGAAACACTTTGTACAGGCTGTTGGAAAGGATTATAAACCCACACCTTTTATTTGTTAAAGATTGAAGTTAACCAACTGACTACTTAGTTTTCGTTGTTGGGGAAGGAAATTGGTGAAACAAATTATATTCATGATCTCAGAATTTTATTTCTTCCATTTTTCTTTTGTGCAGATAAATAATGTTGTTTCACAATCTGCTCATTCAGCTTTATGCTTTGCTAGTACTGCACCTATGATCTTAAGTCAATTGAATGAAGTATTGTTATTATTCCACCAAAAGGTTTCAATTCAAATTTTTAACATTTCTGCCAAGATGGGGCAAGAATTTTGGTGCATTGGCTTCCATAGAGTTCAGGACCAAGGGATGACCATTTTAGGAGGTTTGAATCCTGACTTAAGTGTTTCTCCATTGTATGCTCTAGTCCAAAATGTAGAGAATGAGTATTGGTTAGATGCTAGCCTTTGCATTTATGTCATGTGTGCGTATCCTTGTGGTTTCTAACATACACTATAAACATATGTTCATTCTAAAAAGGTTTTATTGATAATTATGATGTATACATGAAAGCATTATTTTGCTTAAATTAATCACCCATTAAATTATTATTCTTCATGACATGTAAAACTAAGAAATTAAATATATTTAACACAATAAGAAAGTTCTTATATATGTTAACCAGGGATGCCAATGGGTCGAGTCAAATACGTGACCCGACCCTATATGGTCGGGTAAGGGTCAGGTGTATTCGGCTTTAGGGCCGGGTTAGGGTTTTGATTCTTTGACCCGAGTCGGGTTCGGGCTTGGGTTTGGGATTTGATTGGACCATTTCGTTGGGTCATGATACCTATATATATACCAAGTGTTCTTGCAGTTTTTTGACTTCTAACTATATAGATTTAAAGTTTATATTTTATTTACATGTTGATTTTGATTTTCTTCTTTTTTTTTCTAAATAGAAAAAGTAACACCTTAGAATCTATAAAACAACTTCCTAACTTAAATTAATGTTTTTTATGTTTTCAAAACATGTTAAAAAAATACATTTGAAATGCTACGGGTTGAGTCGGGTCACAATCGACTTTGGGTTACGGTGCTTGAGAGTTGGGTTATGGTTGAGGAAAGCTCGTGCCAAACCCGACCGGTTGACATCCCTAATGTTAACGGTCGACAATGCTCTCATGGACTATATTCCATGATATTGTAAAGACCAATTATTGTGATTTGCATAATTGCATCTCAAACTACTTAAGATAGACAATAGTTGAGATTTCCCTACAAACAATGTGGAGAGTGTACATATCTAAAAAGGCCCTTATCCAATGGTGGCCCCTACTATCTGGGTCCTTGGGAGGGGTAGACTAGGTAGTTCTAACTTCTAACCTTTAGCATTTTCTTTTGCACAAAGTGGCTGCTCTCACTCTCACTATATGAGAGTGTACATATCTCTCATCCAGAAATAGTATTCCGGGAGCTTTTCAAGCAATTTACTTCTATCCAACCCATACCTAACACTTCATTGTGAGAAGTTGTTTATTAGATATGGTTGTTGCATAAGTTATGCTTACTTTCTGATGGTTTTGGGAACTAAGCTTCTATGTGGTGGATAAATACTGGAGATATTTTAATGTTGTCTACATGGTGAATACATTTATGAAATTCTTCTTTGCTATTTCTCTCTATTGGCTATAGTGTCATGCCTTGATTTATTGCAATGTATTTAGGAGTTTGTGTACACTACACAAATTACATTTGAAAATGAGTTTAATAATGACATTTTGTATAGCCAAAAAAGTAGAGAATTATCAACAAACCACAAATCATGAAATACAAAATTAGGAAAAATAAAAAAACTCAATTATACTTCACATTTATATAGCCTCTGAGACCTAAAATTGAAGAGATCAATGACAAGTAACACAAGAAGAACTAGGAGTAGACCAAAAAGCACAAGGGTATTAGTAGTAAGAAATGATTTAGGCACTAATAATTTAACTGTGGATATGGCTTTAAGTTGAATGGATTGGTGAAAAAGGATTCGTGTAGCCAACCCCATATAGCTAGAATAAGGCATGAATGATGATGATGATGACATATTAGGGATGGTTGTTTATAACCTAGCCTTGCTTGGCTGGCTTGCAAATTTCTGGACTAAAAAAGCCACATTTCTTCCAGGTCTAGCCCATCTTCGACCTACATTAAGACTACAAAAAATGCAGATATGTGATTTTTAGCTATATTAGGATAAACCCAATATTAGTTGTAACCTCAGAATGGACGTTCATACTACAACTTTTAATTGTAACCTCATAATGAACTTTGAGTCAAATTTTCTATCCCGATATAACTGATGTGATTGCAGTTCTGTAGAACTAGAATTGTTTTGAGAAATCATACAACTTGTTAGTGATGTTCGGGCACACATTAAACTTCAATATCTTAATATTTATTGTTATTTTATGAATATATAATTATTATTTTATTAGTACATTGTTATGATTTTATTAGTTTTTTTAGAATTAATATCTTAGTATTTATCATTAATTTATGAATATTTTATTCATAATTATTATTTTATTATTATTATTTTCTTATTAGATTATTAATATTCTATTATTTTTGTTGATTATTTTAAAATTAAATTTTTATTATTTAATAAATAGTATGTTAATATTTTATTATTACTTTAATTATAATATTATTAGATTTTTATTTGTACTTAAATATTACTACGATTATTAATTAATGAATTAATATCTTTTCTTTTTATTATTAATTTATTAATTTTTTATTATAGTATTATTATTTTATGAATATTTTATAAATGTACTCTTATTTTATTATTATTATCTTATTATAACTTTTGGAACATTTTATTAGTTAATTATTAATTTTTTTTATTATTTTATTTATATTGTGTTTATATTTTATTATTATATTTAATAATTAATATTTTTGTTATTTTTAATTTATTAATATTTTGTTATAGTACTATTATTGTACTAATATTTAGTTAGCAGTGCATTAATATTTATTGTTAATATATTTTTATTATCTTATTGTTAGTCAAATAATATTTTATTATTTTTTAAAACTAAGATATTGAATTCTAATGTGTGCCCAAACAACATAAACAAGTTGTAGGATATCTCAAGATAATTCTAAATTTACAGACCTACAATCATATCAGTAGGATAAACATTTGACTAAAAGTTCATTCTAGGGTTACAATTAATGATTACAAGCTCATGTCAATTTTGAGGTTACAACTAATATCTAATTTATCTTGATATAACAAAATCTCACCGATCAACATTTTTTACAGGCTTAATGCATGTCCGTGTTAGGCTAGGCCTGGAAAAAATGTGGCTGCCTGGGTCTAGAAATTCTCAAGCCAAGCAGGCTGGGTCGGGTCTTAAATAATCATCTCTAATATGTCATCATCATTATCATCCATGCCTTATCCTAGCTATATGGGGTTTTGGCTACATGAATCCTATTTCGCCAATCCATTCAAGTTAAAGCTCTATCCACTATTAAATTTTTAGTGCCTAAATCAGTTCTTACAACTTCTACCCATGTTCATTTTGTTCTACCCTTAGCTCTTCTTGTGTCACCCATCATTGATCTCTTGAATTTTAGGTCTTGGAGGTTGTGTAAATGTGAAATATAACTGAGTTTTTGTTTTTCCTAATTTTGTATTTCATGATTTGTGGTTTGTTGTTAATTTTTCACTTTTTGACTACATGGAATGTCATTATTAAACTCATTTTCAAATGTAATCTGTGTAGTGTGTACACAAACTCCTAAATACATTGCAATAAATCAGGGCATCACACCATATCCAACAGGGGGAAATAGCAACTAAGAATTTCATAAATGCATTTGCAATGTAAGAAACATTCAAAAGTATCTCTACTATTTATCCATGGCATAGAACCTTAGTTGCCAAAACTTTTAGAAAGTGGGCATAAGTCATGCAACAATCATATCTAATAAACAACTTTTCACAGTGAAGTATTAGGCATGGGTTGGATAGAAGTAAACTGCTTGAAAAGTTCCCACTTAATACTATTTCTAAATGAGAGATATGTGCACTCTCATATCGTGAGAGTGAGAGCAGCCACTTTGTGCAAAAGAAAATGCCAAAGGTTAGGAGTTAGGACTATCTAGTTTACCCCTCCCAAGACCCCATATAGCAGGGGCCACGAATGGATAATGGCCCTTTTAGATACATGCGCACTCTACATTGTTTTCAGGGAAAATCCTAACTATTATCTATCTTAAGTAGTTTGAGATGCAATTATGCAAATCATAATAATTGGTCCTTACAATATCATGGAATGTAGGCCATGAGAGAAGTGTCAACTATTATTATATATAAGAACTTTTTTATTTTATCTAAAGATAAAAGATAACCTGTAGCGAATAATCAAGTTATATCAGGATAAAAATTTGATTGAAAATCCATTCCGAGGTTTAGCTAGTTATGCCAATTCTGACTTTTCCAACAATCTTTTTTTTTCATCAATAATTGTTTTATCACTAAACTTCCCACATTGTTTTAGATTCTCTAAAATCTTTCTACTTTAAGACATTGGAAATACTTACTTCCATTTGTACGAAAGATCAACCTGTTGCATAGTTGTTTTGCTGTCTGAAACAAAATCATGATATTGGCAACCACACGGCTTCTATCGGGGCAAGTCAGTGCTCGCACCCTTCGAGCAGCCCCTTGCAACCTTGCATCGGGAACATCTCCCATGAAATAAATCACATAAATACGGAGATATTCCCAAGGCTGTAGGAACGAGCTTTGCCTTGACCGAAGCCGGACTCTACAGATGCATTGTCAACACCAGTAATGTTGCGTGTATATTTGCCTCAATTAGTACTAAAAGCTGTGAGTTGGTAAGCCTGGCTAAAGAGAAGAAAACTAATCTTCTTCTTTTTTTTTATTATTATTATTTTTTTTGTTTATGAAATCAACGCATTGGATGGGCTAATTACGACTCTAAGTTAAACAGACAATGCAAGTCCTTCAAGTTTTTCCATGATGAATGTTCATCAAGTTGCAGATTTAATTTTTAGGTTATTGTGGATTTGCTTTTCAGGATTGTCTGCAATTTGCCACCACATTCTAAAGTCTGACCTCATGGCTCCCAACTCCTTTGGTCATGCATCTTGGTCTCCAGTAAGTCCCGTGGTGAACGAAGGATCAACAAAGTTGTTTAGAAACTTCAACATCTTATACGGAACCTCCATGGCTTGTCCTCATGCGGTGGGAGCGGTAACACTTATGAAAGCAGTCCATCCTGAATGAAGCCCAACAACCATTTGATCTGCCATGATGACAACAGAAGATTGACTCGGTAACACTATCAAACCCATCACAGAACTCTTAGACGACGAGCAACCCACCAGTCCTCTAGCCATGGGAGCGGGTCACCTAAATCCTAACAAGGTGCTCGACCTTGGACTTGTATATGATGCAAATACAGAGGACTACATGAGGCTTCTCTGCACTCTGAATTACACTAAGAAGGAATCAAGAAGATAACAATGTCATTCTCTGCGCAAAAGTTTGGGGATGCCTCTTCAACATTCAATCCAAGAGCTCTTCCTTATGATCTTAGTGTAATTGTGAATGAAAATCTGTAGGGACATGCTACCCCTGTCTTGTGTAGTCCCTTAGAATATTATCAAAAAAAAATGTTTGTATTTCATTGGAGGTTGCAAACAAGGTTAAAATTATCTTTTACACTTGCTTAGCCTAACACATGGCAATTATCTTTCACAGTTGGCCAAAAAGATTGAATGATCAGGAATCTTTCATATCAAAAGTTGATCTGGGACCTCAAAATGGCCCCATTCATTTGGATTTCATTTTAGCTCTTTCCTCAAAGGAGTGTAACATTCACTCAAACATATGGATTATGTCACTTAATTGTCTAGTTATTGTTATAACTTGGGAGACTTTTCATAAATTTTTCCCCCGTTGATGGGTTAATTAAATTTGAGACCCAAAACCCTTGCAAGGTGGTGATTAGAATAAAATCCCATTGGGGGAAAAGTTTGGTATTAAAATATTAAAACATGTAGACTGTTTTTGTTTTTGGTTCTAGAGAAAAATAAGAGAGAAACAAAAAAGATATGGGAAAATTCTCAAGAAATTTCAGAAAGTTTGTTGAGAACTTTGCCTCAATTCTCTGTTACTCTCTTATTTTCTATCAAAACGAAACATAGCCTTAAGATACAACTGGTGCCATGGAAGGCTGACATAAGTTGTAGGGTTGAATGGGTGACTGATACAGAAGGTCACCTATATCAGTTGGAATTGGCCACATTATGCTTCCAGGTGTGGCAGAGAGGAAGCTCCCAATTTGACCCAATTAGGGAGCCTCTTTTCTTGATTTTGCTCAAAATTTCATCATCTAGGAAATTAGCAATAGCCAAATGACTTAATTCTCTCTGCAATGTCACTGTCTGGTTGAATTCTTATGAATCAACTTTTTGATATACTTCTATTCAACAAATAAATAAATTAATTGAGTTGAGAAGAACAGCGGGCTTTAGAACACAAAGGCTGAGGTGGCTGAACTGAATAACTTATCGTGGGGATGTTAGCCAATGTGATGTTCTTTTCTTTGTTGCAAGTTTAAAATATTATCATATATAGCAATCAACCCAATTTCAGCTTCATAAAGTAGGAGCTTACAACCTACTTAATAACTTGTTCATTAAAAAAAGCAACTACCCGGAGCTCTATTTAGATAATCGGGACCAACATCAAATGGGTGTAATTTAACCTAAAACCACAAAGAGACAGATATGTTCTTTCATGATGAACTCATGAAATATCATTATATGAAAACCAGAAATTCTTGAACACATTTTTATCTCTGTTTTGGTAACAAACATGTAAACTACCAATAACATGTTTTCCGTGTTTTTATTTTAGTAACCAATTTGTCATCAAAATAGATGGTTTAATTTGCATTTGGAACTCACAACAAGAAAAACAATTCACTTGGAAGAACACCCAGTGTCAATCTGTGTGTTGAAAATGATATTATCTTTAATTATTATTTATTTTCGAAAATGCAGTGTGCTTGATAAACAAGATTTGAGTTGGATAAATCAGGCCAATTGGTCAACAAGGAGAAATCATTTTCACTGTTCATAATAAAATGCCCACCACCAAATGCCTTTCACAACACATTGGCCACTGAGTCCATGTCTAATTTTGTTTTCAAACTTATTATTAATGTTATTGGAAATTTGTACCGATGCTTCTTTTCTTGATGTTATTCAAGTTTTATTCAAGGTGATATCGAGATGCATCCTGAGATTCTTTTAGTTGTGATTGAAACAAACTTTAATGGCATAACTAAATTGTTGGATGTTATAACTATTGGAGATTTGGAGCCTACGGATGATCTCTTTGTTGACATTGTTAATTCTGGATTGGAAGATGCAAGTGAACTCGCAACTCTGCTGGTGATGGATCAACAAGCGCATCAGTTCTTGCACATGAAGTTATCAAATTAGGCTGATTGAGTGTTACTTTTGGTGCAAAGCCTATATCAATCAAGAGAGGGATTAATAAGACAGTCCAAAGGCCTGGTGGATAAGTTGGAGAAGAAATACAGGCCTGTTAAGGGGCGTGATGRTATTAAAGGTAATTGCTATTTTTATTTCTTCAAGTTATTTTGCATTTTCTACTGTTGTCTGGTACATTCTTGTACCAAATATTTATTTTTATTTCTTCAATTGTTGCTTCCATCTCTGCTGGAAATAATGATACCATTGGGACTATGATTGCCATGCAATTGATAAGGTTGGCCCTGAAGGTGTTTTATCCATTGAATCTTCATCATCCTTTGAGACAACTGTGGAGGTGGATGGAATGGGGGTCTGTATTTTTTAGCTGGTTTCAAGTTCCATTTGTCTTTGTTAATTATATGATGTATGTGGTGTTTTCCCCTGATGTTTTTCAGACTTGTCTGCACATTGATCTTGGTTACATTTCACCACAATTTGTTACATAGCCTGAGAAAAATGATTTTTGGATTTGAGAATGAAAAGGTCTTGGCAACTGACCAGAAAATTTCAATAATAAAGGACATGATTCCTCTGTTGGAGAAGACCAAACAGCTAAGAGCTCCTCTACTCAATATAGCTGAAGACGTCACATACTTCCTCTATTTTTTATCTTGGTTTTGGGAGAGGAACAAGAGGTCTAAACATTCAAAGACTGTTTTTCTAGCCTGAATTTTTAATTGGGAGGAGGTCATGCTGTTGATTTTTCTTGGAGCACAAACCCTCATGGATTGCAACTAACTATACATAAAAAAACAAAGAAGGGAAAGGGAGAGAGGTGAAACATTCCTTGCATAACCACAATTAACTAAGTCTTGCATTGGTGTGAGCAAGATTTGCATGCATGTTTGTGAATGTAGTGCTTTGGCAGGTATAAAATGGCTTGTCATTGTTTCAACAAGGAGAGACTTTTTCAATTAGGTTAGGCAATGGTGGCAAGCAGTGTTACATGGGCCACCGGTGCCCGTATTTGCGCACTGTATTATAAACACATTTCTGCACTCCATCTTCTACGTGCAACTATCCCCCTTAATCATGGCTTTAAATTTCAGAAATTTTGAAAATTTGGCTGAATTTTTCAATAAATCTGAATTATTTTCTTAATTCTTTAAAATATTTATAATGCATTTATTTATATTCATACTACTGATTCATCTTAGATATTTTAATAGTATTTAAAATTTTGGGTAAAAATAAATGGCCAAAATGTTGTAATAGTAAATATGCTCCTCAATGAGAGTGCATCACACCAATCTCATAGCATGTCTTGGTCACACATTGGGAATACCTCTCATTCTTGTATTTATTATTTATGGAGAGTTGTTTCTAATACAAAGTGGGATGTGGTTGCGAGATCGGTGTGAGGCATGCTTTGTGAGGAGCAAATCCCAATTCGGTATTATGCATACGGACAAAAAATAAATAAATAAAGGGAAATAGACTAAGATATTTTATATTTATGCTAATAAATTATAGTTTACCAAAAAAAAAGAAAAACAACTCTTTGAAAACTTAAACTTGAGACCATGAGTGGTGGAGAGTCTATAGAATTTATATTTGGAACACTAAGTTAAAAAAAAAAAAAAAAAAAAAAAAAAACAGTGAGATGGTTAGGGAGTGTTTTGAGTCTAGACTAATTGCATATGATGGCTGGAGGAAGGCTTTCTGCAATCGCTTTGGTGTGTGTTGGTCAAGGAGTAAAGTATCTGTATCGAGTATTGCACCGGAAAACTTGAATACAAATATGGATATGGATACGAATATGGATACATATTAGATATCAGCCCAAGCTGGACTATGCCATTTTTATTTTTTATAGAACTTGCATTACAAATTGGACATGCATCGTGTAAGTTTTCTCATATGATCATTGACCTTGGGTACCCTCAGCATGACATCCTGTCTATCTTAATCTGATTAATGAGATTTGGAGATAATGGTTGATAGGTAATGCAGGGAAAAAAAAAAAAAAGAAAGAAGGGCTGCCACATTAGAAAAATCAGTATACTTTTGCTGATGTAGCAGCTATTTTTTGTTTTGAAGGTCTCTTGGTTGTAGCGAGACTGGGGATTGAATCCTGCTTGCACATAGATTTGGGGCAATCTTTTGAGAAAAAGTTAACTTTATTCAAAAAGAAGAGGTACATGAGGCAATGTTCACGACAGATAAAACTCTCAGAAAATTACAAAGGCATATAGCTATCACTAAAGAGAAAATCCCTGTGTGCACCAGATTTATAGACTATCAGCTTTAGAGTTTAGCTCCCTTGGAATCCAAACCACATGGGCATTTAAAGAAGCAAGAATGTCTCTCACTTCAGATAGGTAGTGAGCTAAGGCCCAAGGCCCACTGTCAGGACTAGAAAGCCTGTTAATGGTGTTGGCTGAGTCTCCTTTAATGGTAAGATTTCGTAAGCCCATGTCTTTTGCAATCCTGATGCCAGTTAGAGCTGCCAAGACTTCTACCTTTGTTGAGGAGGCAATCCCAATTGGCCCACTAAAAGGCCAACTGATACCATTTCTATTTCGAATTACACCTCCAATACCCACTGGACCTGGGTTTCCCAAAGCACTCCCATCAAAATACAAGGTCGTCTCGTCACCCATATCAGATCTGAAATTACGGGTAGTGATGAGTTGTATTTGTTTAGAGTGAAGGAAATTTACAACGTTTCTTTAGAGGTCATCTAAGGGGACACCTCTGAAATGAGATGAGCTGGAAGTCCATAGGATTCGGGGCAATTTGGATCTCCTACCCACAACACACTGCAGTTGTACATTAGGAACATCTCTCCATGAATGGTAACATGTAAATAAGATGTTCCCAATGTACAGCCCTTGGAGCTACCCTCGTTGTGTAGCCCTTGGAGCAAAAAAAAAAATCAAAGATTCAAAATATTATGTTTTTAGTAAAAGGAGCAAAAAATGACTAACATTCTATACCATGAATAAAGGGAATTGAAAATAACTTTTATGAAACTAGAACCTCTAACTCTTTAGTAAAACTATAAAATTTAAACCCATTTAATTTATGTAGGGGTAGATCCTCGTTTAATCCAATTATAAACAAAAGTGACCCTTAACCAAACCAAATTTGAATTTGAATACAGCCAAAATCGTGGAAGGCAAAATGGACCAAACTTCAGTCAAATATCACATCAAGGACCCATCCCAACCAATCAATGGGATCATCCCTACCCTTCTCTTTCTTTTCCTTCAAACCAAACATACCCTTGTAGACATCCAAAATAAGAGAACATTATTCATCCGGCTATGTAAAATTTGCTGGGACCCACCCGAGCGTGGGTTTCCATTAATTCAGTGGGACCCACCAATTTACCTGCTCGTCTTTACCAGAAAATGAACGATGCCAAAATGTTTCAAACCTGGACCAACGGAATTAACCATCCACTTGGTCACTCCGGCCCTAAACTTGGTAGAGTCAGCTTCCAATTTAGAATTTTCCAAAGAAGTATAACTGCACAACATCAACCCAGAATTTGGAAAACTGCAACCTATGTCTGTCCTGTTGTCCTACAACTATCCTTGGCTTTTCCTGTAGATGAACTGTTGTCAAGCCACTTATACTTGTCCAGGAAGTCTCAGTTCCAAACATCACAAAAGAAAATTAATAAAGATGGAGAAATGCATCACTGAAAAGGTGAACTACATGTTCTTTTACAGAAATCCAGTACAGACCTGTTGTAACAATTGGCAGAAATGGAATCATTGCAGTTCAAACACTACATGGGAGGTGAAAGGTGGCCAAAACAAAAACTTAATTCTATTTACCTTACACAGAATTTGAGTAACTAATTGTTCCTCGAGTGTCTTGGGCCAGCAAAGGTTTCTTGTAGGACTGCAATAAGAGCGATGAGCAGACAACACTAAGTGAGGAGGCTGCCATGCAAACACCAGCAAGCCAAGGTGGTAATCGGATTCCGGTAAAAGGGAATAAAACCCCAGCAGCAATTGGCATTCCAAGCACATTGTAACCCAAGGCCCATACATAGTTGAGCCGGATCCTGGAGAGAGTTTTCCTTGAGAGATCAATGGCTGTTATAATATCCTCCAAGTTGCTCTTGATGAGAACAATATCAGCAGCTTCAATGGCAACATCAGTACCCGCACCAATTGCCATGCCAACATCAGCAGCAACTAAAGCTGGAGAGTCATTGATTCCGTCACCTACCATTGCCACAGTCACAC